TACAGCATTAATACTTACATTTTGTTTCAAATTTGAAGCAATGAATGTTATAAAAAAAGCTATATCAATATTTTTAGGGAATGCTAGGTGAAGTGATTGTCGGTGAAATGATACGTATCCTTTTTATTTTTATAATCATGAAAAAAATTTATTGTTAAGTTATTATAATGCTTACTTGAAGTTATTATTTAAATTTTACACTTATTTATTATTTTTTTTTAACCCTGCTGATAGAACCTATATTGCGTAATTTATTAAATGTTATTTATTACCATATCTTGTTTTACAATTCAATATGTTGAATAAAATAATTTGAAATTATAAGTATATACTGTATATATAATCTTTTTAGATAAATATTTATATACTTAAATAAATTTTATATAACATACAGTCGTCCTTCTATATAGTTCGGTTCAGCTCACTTATTTCGTAGAAATAACATTTTACCGACAGCAATTCACCGACATGTTATTTCACCGACATCCATTTTCCATTTCACCGACAGGTTAATTCAGCGAAACTCATTTCACAGACAAAATAATTCTGGTCATTGTCGTTAGGGTCAGGCTAGAATTAAACTTAAAGTTGGTGGAATTTATAAAAAAAATTGTCTTTTAAATGAGCTTTGGTGAAATAAATTGTCGATGAAATAGACTTGTCGGCGAAATAATTGTCGGTGAAATAATTGTCAGTCAAATAAACATGTCGGTGAAATAATTGTCAGTCAAATAAACATGTCGGTGAAATTTGTCGGTGAAATGTTATGTCTACAAAATGATTGCCGGTGAAAGTGATACGTATCCATATAGTTATCTTATATATAGTAAAACCCTTTTATAATCACTCCAAAGTTTGCAACACTTTACTAATAACCCTATAAAAAATACCTTTTTATAAGCATATCATAGTAAAGACCTTCGTAATTATAGAAGAGGACGACCGTATATACATTTAGTGGTAATTGCACCAGTGGTACAAAAGTTTTGCCACATTAATAATTATCCATCATTATCCTCGGAAACTGTAATTTTATACTTTTATGCATGATTTATAAAAGTTTTGGCAAAAATTATTCACATGATCAAAATTACATGTAATTTTGATTTCTGAACTTTCGCAAATTTAAGTAAAATTACGTAAAATCACGGTAATTTGTAAGGATGGTAAAAAATCGCTTTTTATTGATTTTGATGTTTTTTAACCTGATTTAATAAAATGTTTTAAAACATTGTTGATTATGGCGCTGATGGATTAATGTATATAATTGGTTAATTTCAACTTCAGTGTGCCATGAATTTTTTATTTCTTAATCGAAATATGCCATCAGTTTGTGTTACAAAAGTCAAAAGTCGGAAGATTCGAATTTATAATCATGATCGTAACCATATCATTATTATTAATCATGATATCAATATCAGTGACGATATTTTAAAACTTGCAAAACAATATAAAACTGATTTAAAACATTCTGTTTTAAATCATTTGCAATCCCTAGTAATTTGCCAATCCTAGATGAAATTGAGTCTCAATTTTTGAATTCGAAATCTTTAATTTTATGGGGCGCATTCCTATGATTTAACATTTGCATGTTTTTCTAGCGTCTACACTAATTTCCTGGTGCTTATTTCGCATTGTTCTTGGTGAAGCATTGTATCTGTAAGGGGTATGTTAGTTGATAGTGAACCTTATAGGAAAGCGGAGAATAACAACCGAGTTAGTGAAGCGAAAGGTGAAACGAACGTATCACGTGATGACGCAGTCGACCAGAATTATGATCGGGATTATCGTGTTGGGCAGCATTGGGTATAATAGATACCGTTATCGTCGATCATGGGAACAATGACGATTAAATTAGTAAAATTTAAGAGTTTATTGAAATGCAATGTAAAAGTATAAGGAAGTGTGTTAGTACATTAATAATCAACGTTGTACAAAGTAGTATAATAAATAGAGAAAATAAATAACAAGTATAATTGGTCTTTGACTTGAAAAAGAACGATATCGAAATAAAGTGTGTTATGCTTGCCTGTGAAAGTGTTAGTGTGGAAGTGGCTAAGAGCCAAGCGAGACCAAGAAAGTTGTAATATACCGTTTGGGAGAGATAACAGTAACTGAGGTTATTGTCCAACCCCGTGATACTTATGCTTATGCATTTAGCTATTACATCACTCACTCACTTCTTATACAGATTAGAATGAATAATTATAGCTTTAATTCCACCTTAATTATGATGTTGATACATTCATTTTATATAATACGATATTCCTCTATAAACATCATCTAATAATTCCGTTGTAATTATAATCGTTTAATCATTTATTTGTAGAGGGGTAGATTTTCACTGGAACTCTGCAAGTGCCGAGTATATTATTATTAAAACATAGTACTTATGCATTGGCATTATGTTTTAATAGCGTGTCAGCGCCAGCACTTGCACAACTTTAATTATCACTATAAATCTCTAAAGAAGGATGTAATATTTATTGCTATAAATATGGCATAAAATTTTGTATATAAATATTCAGCTAAGAAATAGTTTTAAAAAAACACATTTAAAAGAATTTCCTATAGATAAAAAAATGTCTTACAATATTATAGCGCTTTGCAAAAAGATGTGGCCACATGATTTTTGTGATGATGATGGCGGAGAATCGCTGGGATTCTAAATGTAAAATCTAAATTTAAGAATCTATATAAAATTATACTATATATTATACTTTAATTACATTATGCTTTAATTACGTTATGCTTTAATTACGTTATACTTTAATTACGCAATTAATCATTATAAATACTAATATAGTTTTTTTAATAACGATAAATATATTTACACATTCTTTTTACATATCGATCGATATATATTATAAATTTCTTTCAACATATAATTCTAATGGCTGATGCCCAAGAAACAAAACTTAAATATCGTCGAGGAACCTGTTTTAGTTGTCGAAAATGCTTGTACTGTGGAATTGATTTACAACAACAAAGATGTAATTGCAATTTATCGGATGTGCCACATAAAGATAATCGAACTGCTGCGGTCAAATATGCGTTTACACGGGTATTTAAACCAAACTGGATAAAAGAACAAGTGGAATATGTTCATCAAAAGATAACGCTTTACAATTACTCACTAAGTTCAAAGGAACCTTTTAATTTTTCATTAGCAGTATGTTATTAAGATTATCTTCAAAGGCGAAAAAGTCTAAAGCAATATTAGGTTCCACGGTTACAAATGCCGATATTCTTTCAGGATTTGAATCATATGATCTTACCATTCCAGATACTAATGCTATTGAAGTTGGGATTTACTGAAGATTATAATAACGACTATGAAGAGCATAGTACTAATGAGTCTTTATCTGATGACGATACTGAATATGAGTATAATTATGGAATTTTTATTAAGTTAGAGAATGGTACAACTCTTCCGGCAAAGTGGTACTCATCTAGAATATCTACAGTCGACGAATTGCTTTCAGAGATTCACATAAATATTGAAACTCTGACAAAAAGAAAATCAATTGAATCAAGCGATTATCGTGTTGCATTTAAACCTGAAAAGGCTACAGGAGCGGGCACTCAATTAGTAGACGATCGCGACTTTAAAAAATTTCAAGCCGATTACTGGAAATATACTTCTAAAAATATTGATATAGCTTTTTTTATAACATTCATTGCTTCAAATTTGAAACAAAATGTAAGTATTAATGCTGTA